ATACAGTTTACATTATTTGTTATAAATTAATTAAAATATTGACTACATATTTTTTTGCCAGCTTGTTTATGCTTGCACTAACTAGTGTCAATGTCAATGGTATTTTTAACAGTTAATAATCATAAAAGGAAGAACAAACAAACTACATGAGTTTAGTTTATTATTTATTTACAAAAAGTTGATTTTCTTTGTTTAAAACGAAACGTCGGTCAATTTCCAATTAAAAATTAAAAATTTGAAGTCAAAGTAATCTCAAAACTCCTTTCTCTCTATAAAGTTTCTGCCGACTACTATACAGCATGCTGCAATAACGTGCTTTCATAAGAAGGATGAGATGTATTCCATAATATAATTTTAACTTATCTACGTAAATATTATTCGAGGTAAGACTCTTCAAACACTCTTTTACGTTTAGAATTGAATATGTTAAATATAAAAATAAATGATAATTGATTTGATAGGGAAAATCGATAATAAAATAAAGATTATTTTTATTAAAATTAATTTAAATTTAATTAGATATTAATTTATATTTAGGAATATCTTTTAGATTATTGATATCTTTGTTAGAAGATATAAATCTTAGATCTTCTTATATCTTTGTAGAAGATATATTTTAGATTTAATTTGTGTGTATAAATAGCCTAGTGGAGTAGGTTATTGTAATTCATTGTAAATTCTTTTTGAAGCTATCAGTAAATATTTATTTTGTCTTTTATCTTCCTTGTGTTCTAACAATTGGTATCAGAGCTCCTGGTTAGAAACTCTGGAATTTGAGAAACATTGATTTTTCATTGAGTTTCTGCGTAAATTGCACAAGGTAGAAGATGAACGAAAACAACGATATTCATTCCAAGCTTCCAGTATTTGATGGCAAAAACTGGAATCGTTAGAAGATCCAGATGCGCGTGTTATTTGGTTCTCAAGATGTGTTAGATCTTGTCACTGATGACTATAATCTGTTAGAAGTAGACGCAACAGAGGCCCAAAAGATAGCACCAAAGGCGCTGAGGAAGAAAGATCAGAAAGCGTTGTTCTACATCCATCAATGTGTGGATGTGAATGTGTTTGAGAAGATTGCTGATTCTGAAACAGCAAAGGCTGCGTGGGACACACTGGTCAGATGTTACAGTGGTGACGCATCAGTGAAGAAGGTGAAGCTTCAGTCTCTCAGAAAGCAATATGAGAATCTCAACATGAAGGACAATGAGAAGGTTTCTGAATACATCTCTAGAGTGATTCTGATCACTAATGAGATGAAAGCTTGTGGAGAAACTCTGTCTGAACAAGTAATTATTGAGAAGATCTTGAGATCTTTAACATATCAGTTTGATTACATTGTTGTAGCAATTGAACATTCCAAAGATCTGAGCACCATGAGAGTTGAAGAGCTGCAAAGTAGTCTAGAGGCGCATGAGTTGCGTATGACTGCAAGAACTTCTGAGAGGGAAGTAGAGAAGCAGGCTTTGAAAGTAACTTCTGGTAAGAAGCATCAGAAGCAGACTTGGTCAGAAGCCAGGAAGTGAACTAATGGTGGTCAAAAGTCAGAAGCTTCAAACTCTGATAGGCAGAAGAATATCCAGAAGGGAAAGGAGAAGTCTGACAAGAAGAATGTTCAGTGTTACTGTTGTAGGAACTTTGGTCACTATGCCAAAGATTGCTGGTCAAATAAAGAAAGGAAGTCAGAAGAAGCAAATATAGTCAGAGGAGATTCAGATGGTGAACATGTGCTATTTATGGCTTATGAATCTGATGAGGAACCAGTGAAATTGTCATTTTCTGATTCTGAAGGGGAAGAAGAGTATGACTCTAAATATTCTGATTCTGAAGGAGTGATTTTGTATGAGTCAGAATCAAAATATGACTCTGAGTCAAAATCAGAAGATGGAGCTGAAGACTTTGAAGGTGAGTCAGAATCTGAGGTTTCTGAAGACGAGTTAGATTCAGAAGATGACTCTGAAGCTGAAGACAAGTCAGAATTCGAAGGTGATTCTGAAGGAGATTCTGCTTCTGAAGAAGAGTCAGAAGATGATGACTCTGGAAACTCTGAAGGTGAGTCAGATGGTGAATCTGATTCTGATCCAGATTTTGACGATGATTCAGAATTTGGTGGTGATCATGCTTCTAGAAGGGAAAACTCTAAAGGTGTAGGTTCTAGAGGACAAGTTTCTAAAGATGATCATGTTTCTGGTAGAAATCATGATTCTGAAAGTGGAACTTCTGAAGGAGGAGCTTCTGAAGGAAATTCAGTCTTTGGTGATGATCATGATTCTGAAAGTGGAACTTCTGAAGGCAGAGGTGATCCAATTTTTGAAGATGGTATTTCTGAAGGTAGTGGCTCTGACTCTGATGGTGATCCAGACTCTGAAGACAGTCAAGGTTCTGGAGAAAGTCCAATTTCTGAAGCAAGTGCTTCTGAAAGGGAAAGTTCTGGAGAAAGTCCAATTGCTGAAGCAAGTTCTTCTGAAGGGGAAAGTTCTGGTGTCCAAAGTTCCGAAGGTCCAGTTCAGAGGCAACAAAGAGTCAGAAGCATCCCAAGAAGATTTGCAGAATTTGACATGTTGCTAGACACTGAAGTAAACTCTGAAGGAGAAGTTATTCAGTGTGTAATGTTAGTAGACTCTGAACCCATGAGTACGGAAGAGGATCTTAAGCAGCAAGTTTGGTTACAGGACACGAAAGAAGAACTTGATGCTATAGAGAGAAACAAGACTTGAAAGCTGACAGAACTTCCCAAAGGCAAGAAAGCCATCAACGTCAGATGGGTTTTCAAGCAGAAACTAAATCCAGATGGATCAATTGGCAAACATAAAGCGAGATTAGTAGCAAGAGGCTTCCTACAGAAGCCTGAGCTGGATTACTTTGAAGTGTTTGCACCTGTAGCGAGACATGAAACAATCAGACTAGTGATTGCAATAGCTGCTAACAGGAATTGGCCTCTGATGTATTTAGATATAAAATCTGCATTTCTGAATGGTCCATTACAAGAAGAAGTGTACATTTCACAACCTCCTAGATTTGAGAAAAAGAATCAGGAAGGGATGGTGTTCAAATTACATAAAGCATTGTATGGATTGAAGCAAGCGCCTAGAGCTTGGAACTTGAAAATTGATTCGTTTTTCAAGGAACAAGGGTTTCAGAAGTGTGGGATGGAGTATGGTGTTTATGTTCAGCACACTTCAGAAGGTAATATGATTATGGTCTGTTTGTATGTTGATGACATATTACTCACAAGAAGTCCTGAACAAGAGATAGTTGAGTTCAAGAAAGTTCTGATGAATGCGTTTGAGATGACAGATCTTGGAAAAATGAGTTTCTTTCTAGGGATGAAATTTATATACTCTGAGAAAGAAATCATTTTACATCAGATGAAGTATGAACTAGAGCTTCTGAAGAGATTTGAGCTAGAAAATTACAAGGTTGCTATCACACCTGCTGATACGAATCAGAAGTTGGATTCTGATTCTGATGGAGAGGATGTGGATGCTACAACCTTCAAACAGATGGTTGGTTCTCTAAGATATTTGTGTAATACCAGACCTGATATTTGCTATGCAGTTGGAATGGTTAGCAGATTTATGAGCAAACCAAAGTGGTCTCATTACCAAGCTACAGTCAGGATTCTGAGGTATGTGAAGGGAACTCTGAAATATGGAGTGTTATTTCCGTCTGGAAGAAAGATCGAATCAGAACTTCTGAGCTATTCTGATTCTGATTGGTGCGGAGATAGAGTTGACAAAATAAGTACTTCTGGGAGGTCCTATTTCTTGGTGTTCCAAGAAGCAACCTGTCGTTGCTCTGTCAACCTGTGAAGCTGAATATATTGCAGGTGCTCTGACTGCATGTTAAGCTGTGTGGATTCTGAACTTGCTGAAAGATCTGAAGATTGAGGTGAATAAACCTTTGAAGCTGATGATTGATAACAAGTCTGCAATCAATCTTGCCAAGAATCCAGTGTTGCATGAGAGAAGCAAGCATATTGAGACCAAGTATCATTTTCTGAAGAATCAAGTTCAGAATGGAATAATAGAGGTTGTGCACTGTAGCACTCAGAAGCAGCTGACAGATGTTCTGACAAAGGCTATCAAAACTGATCAATTTCTTGGTTTAAGGGATGAAATTGGTGTTGTCAGTTTTGGGTAAATATAAATTAAGAGATGATTTTAGAATTAATTTAGATTTAATTAGATATTAATTTATATTTAGGAATATCTTTTAGATTGTTTATATCTTTGTTAGAAGATATAAATCTTAGACCTTCTTATATCTTTGTAGAAGATATATTTTAGATTTAATTTATGTGTATAAATAGTCTAGTGGAGTAGATTATTGTAATTCATTGTAAATTCTTTTTGAAGCTATAGTAAATATTTCTTTTGTCTTTTATCTTCCTTGTACTCAAATAATTTTCACATATAAGAACATATTTAAGTCATATCAAATTATAATAGAAAATTGATAACTAATAATCCATCAAATTTTAATTCGTAAGATACAAATTTCTCCTTAAACATGTTAATTTCAGATGTGAAACCCTTAAAAAAAAGAGAAAATATTTAAATAGATTCACATTTTTGCACTTTATATTTTGATTTCATATTATGCCCGTACCTAAGTACCCCTACTCACAAAATTATTGACCTGTTCTAATTCTAGTGATAATACCAATATATATATATATAATCAAAGTTTGACAAATTGGTCTTAAATGACCTTATGTTACTTGAACGGAAAGGAAGCTTCATTGGAAGAAGAATGGTCGACAATTCTGCCCCCTCTCCGCATCCAAATTAACACAACCCTTTAATTTATTATTATACCATATACACGCATATATATAATTTATAACCTAAAGTCTCATGGAAGCAAGCACTACCTCATGTCAAGTTCTTATTCATGCTTAGCAAATTCAAACCTATATCCACAATATTCATCAAATTCTCCTCTTTTTCTCTCTCCATGCAATCATTTCAATCTCTTTCTACTTCACATTCTTTGCCATGACCATCAAACTCCAACATCTACTTACCTTTATAATCTCGCTATTCCTATTCTTGTCACTCTTTCATATCTTTTTTGGCTTCAAATCTAGTATCAGTGGAAACACATTCACAAGCAACATCAAGTTTCCGGTTTCGAAAAATAGGAAAATTTTAGCAACCGGATTTGATTTCACACAATTTATCAACCGGCAGCACCACCACCACCATCATCATCGTCATCAGAATCACCACCACCGGACTCACACCGAGATCGATCCACGATATGGTGTTGATAAACGCTTAGTTCCAACTGGTCCAAATCCATTGCACCATTAAAGAGGTTCATATACTTTTTTTATTTTATTTTATTCTTCTTATGAGATAATGTAATAAATTTGTGTAGCGAAAATTTGTTATATATATTTATATGTGTGATTCTTCTTTTTATAAACTCACCAATTTTGTTACAATTATTATTCATATATCTATGGTGAATATTGTTGATATATTCATATATGTAGGGTGAATAATATTGATATTATTAGTTTAAGAATGTGGATGTGCCTTAAATGATGTATTGATGTGAGAAAAAAAAAAGAATATATAATTTGTTTAACTTGAAGTGGTTGCGACGGCACGATACATCACGGGAAAGAAGAAACTAATTAATAATTAATTGAATATGTGATGTGACATTAGTACAATTTAATATCGGGATTAGTTGTGATAATTAGTGGATTTAGAAAAGGGTTGACTATTATTACAAATGAATGAAACAATAGTGATGCATTCTTCACATAGATGCTCACGTAACATTTTACCATAAAATTAGGACTATTTTGATCACTTTCAACTATGTACATTTCTAATTTCAACTGGTGGGTATTAGCTTGATGAAATTTAACTACTTCATTTTTATTTTCCTCTTCACACGATTCAATGTCAACTTTAAAAGCTTAGTGGAGTTGTGGCATCCAATGAGTACTAATTCCATTTGAAAGGATTGTGAAATGTGGCCTCTTTTTGGTTTGTATGGTGGAGTTGTTAACAAATAACATTGTGGCCTTTGTAGGGATTGAGACCCTTCACACTCTTTCTTTTCCTTTTACCTTCTCTAATTGTTTGTTTTTCTGTCATGGCTGGAACTATTGCTAACCTATAGTTGACTTAGATATAGTGGCGATTCCACTTTATTACTACTAATTCACTTTATTTTTAAGTGTCACTTTTAAAATAATGTTTGTTTATTTTTAATTGTCACTTATAAAATTTAAAATAATATTAAATATACTTTTTTTAAAATTATCCCTAATCACTTATTATAAAAAAAGAAAAATCAAATACATGTGAGAAATAATTAAAAATATTATAAATAAAATGAAATTTATTGATTAAAAAATAACAAAAATAATTATCTTTTTTAATTTGTGAAAAAAATTTAAAAATAACAATTATAAAAGAATGGAGGGAGTAATAATAGTATTTATAAAAGACTCAATTATATATAAAGAAGGGTTTCTAATATATTTATTTCTCAACACGTAACACAAGTTTTTTTGGTTATGTTATCTCTTATTTTTGAGAAGATCTTTGTGCTCTAAATCCTTATACTTCTATTCAATTATTGTTTTTAGTCCTAAAATCAATCTCTTTTTCGATACCATCAACATTATCATTTTTCTAAATCATAGAAAATATATTTCTATATCTCTTTCTATTGGTTCATATTTTAGGTTTTCCTAATTTGGTAATATTGATATCCTTCATAAGGATTATTCTAGAGCCTTTCAAACCCGGTCAAGAAGGATCTTTCTGGAACAATATGAATGCTTGTTTGTTTCTGTTTCTTTCACATGCAACCACTATAAATATAATGTACATTGATGGTATCAAACACAACCTTTGAGGAATTAGATGTTGGTCTGGTTGCTAATGTATTAAAGGTTGGTGAGCTAAGTTTTCTTAGACCCGATGTTGTTAATGTTAATGTTATAAAATATTTTATTATTAAATAGATATTTATATTACTTGATCATATGCTTATATGGAACAATGCAGAAGTTGTTAAATTAAGTTTTAGTGTAGTTATCAGGAGGTTTGATTTGAGTTTTGATAGAAAAAAGTTTATGTTGCTATGTGTTTTGTACATAATCATTATTTGAATCTCAAGTTAGGAGGCTATGAGATTGCCAGTTGTTTAGATGTTGAAAAATAAGAAAATTGTTGGTCGATGACAACAAATATGGTTATGCCAAAAAACCTATTCATGATTTTGAAAAAAAAAGACTCAATAATCTAGAAAATATTAATCAAGTTTATAATGTCCAATACAAAAACGATATAATAAGAGGTCTAAGAACTGAAATGTAATAATTGTTTAAACTATCATATGAACATTATATTTTTAGGTATAAAATGCCTGGTGATGGAAAATCTGTTCATGATATATTTTTTGCGCACCCAAGATCCATCAAGTTGTTTAACACATTCCCCAATGTAATGCTAACAAATTCAGTGTATTAGACCAACAAATACAAACTATCTTTGCTTGAGTTTGTTGTTTTTACTTCTACAAAGGTGATATATTCAACTGGCTTTGATTCTATTGAATGTGAAAAAGAGGATAATGTTATTTGAACTCTAGAAATGTATCGTAGTTTGTTGATTGACTCGTATAATATGTCATTGGTGATTGTTGTTGATTGCGATACGCCACTAATGAGTTTTTTTTTGCAATTTTCCCTACATCACCGACTTTATTGTGTCGACATCACATAACTAGGTATAAGTCGCTAGTAAAAACCAAAAACCTCAAGGGTGAATATGAAAAAAAGGTCAAATCTAAACAAATAGTGGAGTCCATAATGACATTTTTGGATGGTATAATAAATTCTTTTGAACGAGAGTCTTATATTAATTCTATCATGCAATTTAAAAGTGTGCGCACGAAATTTTCAATGTTTTTAAAATATGTTGAAACTATAATAATATATAAAGTGAAAGAGAAAAAAGTCACTACAAGGGCTGATCGACTTAGACTCTTTGGCAACACCATCAAAAACAAAGTTGGATACGTTCATGGTAGATTACTATTTGTTGAATAGCAAGGGTTATGGATCTATGTGTTTTGCAAGTATAACCATTAGTTGATTTTGATGATGACAACTAATGACCATAAACTCCATAAGCCAAACAACTTTTGAGTGTTGATATATCTTTTCAAGAATTCTTGGTGACAACTGTCCAATAATTCCTAATGATGGGATATGATCAAGAAGAAGATGTCTCAAGCCTCATTAGTCAGATAATTCAAAGTTCTAGATGAAGTGATAATAAATCATTAAATCAAGTAGAGTATCTTGAAGTGTGGAAGTGTGGAAGCTTGCCTAGTCATGCTCTTAGCGTTTTAGAGTGACCATTTTTAATTGTAAAATATCAAAAGTAAGTCTTGAAGTACTAAGGCAATCACACACACCATAAAAAATATTTTCAAACACTCTGATTTCATTAAACTTCTTAAAGCCTATCAATGCATGTATGAAATTGATAAAGAAATATTTCTAATCAATTAGGAAAGCTAACCCAATGCCTAATCGATTAAGGATTTGGTTCAATTGATTAAAGCAATGAGAAAGACCATATAATCGATTAGAAAAACTATTAATCAATTAAATTCAGGGCTTCCTTTTCTAGGTTAGAGTTCATTCCTTTTGAAGCATTTTAAATGATTAAAACATGATTTAATCAATTAAATCATTTATTTAGCACATAGATAATTTCCTTTTCGAACCAAATTTTTTTCTATATAAAGGATACTTCTCCCTATTTCATTTTACACTAGATTTTTGAATAGAAACCTCTTTAATATTTTTCTACTATCTTTGTTTTGTGAAATTTCTTTTTCACAAAAATTGATGTAGCCTTGAAAGACTGAAAAACCCTTATGAGAGTTATGTTATACTGGTTACATGATTAATCTGTTGTATTCAAGAGTATGATTATCTTATGTAATATCTTTTGTAAGAGATTTAAAGGTTGCAAGCTAAAACTGAAAAAAATTTAGGTGAAGGTTCTTGAGTTAAGCCTGTGTAAAATCTCTATTTATTGTTGAAGGTTTGTGGACAAATCTTGTGCAAAATCTCCAAGTGTTGTTGAAGATTGTTTGGGATGATTTTGTAAAAGCTTAAGTTTGTTTTTAGTGAAAGTCTTAAGAGGAAACTCTTGGGGACATGAGTGGTGTAACACACCATTTTCCCATATCAATATTTATAATGAAATATACGATAAATGCATCAGAGTTCACAATGGGATGTCACATAAATCATAAAATCTATAAAGTTCTCAAAATACTTTATTACTTTGTGTATCCAAAAATGGTTATTCGGCAGTGAAAAATCAACATAAAAGTAGTTCATTGGCATTCTAGCCTTAACAACAATTCAAATCCACAATACGTGGTCCATCATAAGTTTAAAATAAAATGTGCAACATTTGAAATCATGCAAAATATAATGAAAATCCCAAATCCCGTATTACATATTAGAGCGACTCCTAAGACTCGATCTGGTAACATCACTTCAAGCACTACTCGGGTACCTGATTATCTGTACTCCCGAAGAGTACAAACACAACAACACAAAAGGGGTGAAAATTTCATTCAATAATTACACGGTGAAATAAAATATGCTAAGGAGTAGTAAATCACAACATACATAAAATTCATCTCAAACAACCATCATCATATCATACAACATCAGTTCAGTATTTATGCAATGCAATAGTCCTACATCAACATGCATGTGGCACCATCAAGGCATAATCCTTTAACTCAATGCCAATTGGGTAATAACAGAGCATAAGCCCTCAACACAATGCCAATCCAGGCCAAAATCAGGGCATAAGCCCTCATCTATGAATGCATGCAACATAAACATGCAACAATGTAGAATCATACAGCCACAAGGAATAATACTTCAACACCATGAAAATTTAATCCATCCACATCATCCTCATCATAATCATCAACTTTGCCTCATAATGGCATCATAAGCAAAACAAAGCCGCAAAAAAACAACTCACTATTTTGGTGTAACAAGGGGAAACTATTCCTATCCTAAATTAAGTACTATAATTATCCTTCTTAATCCTCATTTTATTCTACCTACTTCAAGTTTATGGTTTTATCTATCCAACTCTTCGAACGGCGCATCAAATAGAGTTACGGTTCAAAAGTTACGACCTTTAGAGAAATCTGTCAAAAATTGGATTGCTTGAGTTGACGCATGCCTCCTTTGAGTCGAGGCATAGGCATTCTGTCTTCCAGGGTGTGCTCAGGT